GAGGAAACGAGTGGCAAAGGAAACAGGCCGAGGAGGGAAGTGAGGAGATACGAGGGGCACGCGGAGGAAAGACATCCAAAAAGGGAGAGAGGAAGGATACAGACACCAAAGAAATAGGCTCAGTAAAACGGTAGGTCAAGTCCTACCTGGGTGACAGAGACATTCACCTTAGGAACGTTTCGGAGGCAGCCAGTCTAGAGGAGTGAGAGGGACACAGCGCAGCTTTGCCTCTCTTGGTTGCTTTACGTTCGTTTCCAGCAAACCCGGGACTTACACAGTCCAGGAAGGCAGTCGGTCTGTCCCTCTTCCACTGCCAGGCAGAGGGGGCCCGGCCCGCAGCTCACTGCTTCCGTCGCCTCTCAGGAGCACACGCTGACGACTGCTGGAAATGAATCCCTTGTGGCCGGCCGTTGGTCTGTTTGAGATGATTCCTCACTGGGCCAGGTCCCCCACGCAGGACAAGGCAGGCCACACCACTGTCCAGAGGTCCCCGGAGCACCACACACCCCCTCTTCTTAGGCTTTCGCTTCCTCTTCAAGAGATGTGCTAAGAGGCTCATACCAGCCTTGCCGCAGAGAACGAAACGCACACTTAATATGCAGGAGGGCACCCTGAACATTATGTTTACCCTCCTCCCAATCTTGCTGTTACACCCCCATTTTTTACAGATGAACAAATGGAGACCCGGGAGAGTAAAGGTCTTAACCCGTGACCGCACATGGTCTTTCCACCCTGCCGAGCTTTGTAGGTCATGCTGTGAAGTTCAGCTAGTGTCCGCTGTGCCATGGTGCCTGCTTTTCCATACCGGACTGGAAACGAAGCTAACATGATTCTGTTTTGTCCTGTATTCCTATACTGCCACCCAGAGGCAATCGTTTTAATGAAAATGATCCACTAGCTATTCCCGCGCAAGTACAGCCATGCTCTTCACCGCCTCGTCAAATCCTGCGCACCCTTAGCACAGTGGCAGTGACACTAGTCTTGGGAGCTGGAGGACAATGGTATGAGGCTTGTCTCTGCCAGTGACTAACTGTGTATGTGTCACATTGGTATGTTATTTGGAATTCATATTTCTGGGTCTTCAGCTTTCCTAGTTGTAAAATAAAGGACTTGAAGTAAATTCAACGTATTTCAATTTGATGAATATTTATTGGGGTGAGTCGCTTCTGTGCAATGTCTCCAGATAAGTGCTGTCAAGAATACAAAAATGAATAGGACAAGTTCCTGCCCTCTAGATGCACAAACTCTAGTTGGCGGGAAATAATCTACAGGCACATTTTGATGCAAGCCTTAGTGGATGTACAGATAAATGCCTTGCTGTGGCTTTTGATTGCCTAGTTGGCTTAGGAAGGCTTCCTGAAAGCGGTGAAATTTCTGAAGCAGTTTTTCAAGAAACTTTGTCAAATAAGTAGTTTTAAAATGCCCTCTTTTAACATAATTCTAAGTGTAACACATGATTCTGTATAGGATCAGAAAAAAACTGGCGTAAATTTAGACTCGATTTTAGTAAGAGTATTCTATCAGTGTTAAATTTCCTGAATTAGAATATTGGACTGTGGTTATGTAAGAGAATGTCCTGATTCTTAGGAAATTTGCTAACGTGTTCAGGGTTAAAAGGTCATGACACCTGCAAGTGGTTCATCAATAATAATAATGACGATGCTAAGTATTATACAGAGAGTTAGTGATAAAACAAAATGTTAGTTAGTGAATCTAGGGGAAGTGTATATGAGAGTTCATTGTACCCGTTTTGCAACTTTTCTGAAAGTTTGAAATTTTTTGAAAATATAATTTTAAAAATGCATCATTTTTTGTAGGAAAAAATACCTTCCAAATGTCCAATTTAGCCTCTCTCATAGAAGGAGACACAAATCCAATGGAAAATGGATTTGTATTGGCAACTGGCTGTGCCAGACATGGTACCTGGTGTTCTCATAGGCAGGTCCCAAGTGAAGAGTTCACATTTGGCCTGGCCATCTCCTTGGTTTCTTGGTATTAATGCCTCTTTATTCTATGTATTCCGACTGCAAATAAAGTTAGCGTTTCTCACAGAGACAGTGTGGAAACAGGCCAAGAGAATGGGACATTCTATTAATAAACTTGAAGCTGGCAAGAGAGGTGGGGGAAATTGGGCAAAATTATTTTAGCAGAGTTGTCTCACGCACGACAGTGTAAGTGCTATGGAACTTTAATGCTAGGGGGCATAATTTTTTAAAATTATCCAGAGAAACAAAAATACAGATAGACAGATTTGACTAATGATAGTAATTTCTTCTGTCATTCAGAAGGCACTTTGGCTTAAACCTCTTAAATTGATAATAAACAGTAGTAAGTCGGATTTGCCATGATAACTGGTAATTACAATTCTGGGTTTTTTTTTTTTTTTAAATAATAGGAGTTAGAATCTGAGCGGGTTAAACTTTTGGAGGATGTTACTTTTAATAAGCGGAAGATGAAAGAACTTGAAGATAACCTGCTCTATAAATTAAGTGCTACAAAAGGTATTGTGTGTGTTATTAAGAAGTAATGAAATAATGGATTCTGAATAAGGATTCCTTTTACACCCTTTGCAATGCCCTCACGACTACAGAGATTGGGACATAGTTGAGTTATCAATGTGAAAACAAGCTAGGCAATTTCCATCTTGACAATAAAGAGGGACTGCAGAGAATCTGATTTTTGAATTAGCAAAGAGACAGCATCTGAGAATAACACAATTTTCTTGATCTAATTGCTCTCTTTTGAGAGACATAAGGGCTCCCAGGAGAGCTAGGTAACTCACTATAAGCTAATTTGCTTGCCCAAAGGAAACTAATGTGCTTGATCTTCTTTTTTCTTTTTTTGTTTTGTTTTTAGATTGACTATTTCATTTGGCATTGAAATGCAGTTGCCACAGTGGGTTATGACACATGTAAGCTGTGTCGGAGGAGCTTGGGTACCAAAGGCAGCTTATTCTCTGCTTGGCTTGTTCTCCCCTGGGCAGCCACATCCTCATAGCACACCCCAGTTTGCGGACATACTCTCTCTGCAATATATAAAAAGAAAATTTTATCCAAAGAAAATAAAATCAACAAGCATCATATTTTTCTGTAGCAGGAAAATCACAGCAATCTAAATTTCACCATTTATTAACAGTCTAATGATCAATACTTCCCAATAGCACTTTAATCCCTGGGTTAAGAAAAAGTTTTAACCTTGCAGAAATACTATATCTTTAACGTGAGCTCAGTGAAAAGTCTTTTAATATGCCTCAATGGCACTGTTTCTGCTGGTGACGATGTCTGTCTCTTGGTGCAGCGACTTCTCCAAGTCATTTGGGATAGCTCTGTGCAGTCTAAATATAGCAAGGAGAGTTGAGGGCTGTTCTCCTGGCCCAGCCAAGTGTGCTGGATCAAGACCTCTTCTCTGTGAGGTTAATCACAAGTCGGACTTCCACATTAGACATAACATGCCTGTCAGAGTGACTCAGCCTGTCCTACAGCACTCACCTGCCATCCAGAGCTCCAGGATAAGCTAGGGTGCTGCTCTTTGCAGACACGGTAACTGTTAACTCAGTACCTCCAAAGTGTCTCTCTGTATCTTAAAGTTGAATTTATTATCATAAATGTACTATTTCTATTAAAAACAATAAAGGGGGCAAAACTAAACATAAAATTAAGTTTTCTCTTCCTGGTGAGACACTTGCACTGTATCCCAATTTACTCTTGTAACAGACAAAAAGGGGTTTGGGTTTTCCATGGCGAGGACTGTGCTACTGAAGCAGTGGGAGGAGGGAGCGCACCATCCACCTGCCGGCTGGTCAGCCCGTGCGTGCAGTGTTTGGATCAGCTCACACCCTGACACAAATGGGATGGACAAGCTGGTGACACTTTGAGGAGAGCCACCAAGATAATAAGGGGGATGAAAGCATGTCACATAGGGAACAGCTAAAACCACTGGAGACATGCTTGATCATTATCTCTAGACGTTTGAAGACCCATCATCAAACGGATCTTTCGCTTTTTGCAGATTTTCAGGCAGAGTGGGAGATGGTCGCCGGGCAGGAATGTTTAGAGGGATTCAGGCATTGGTTGATAGTTGGACTGGAGTTCTTTCAGTGTCTTAAGAGTCTACTCTTGTAGTACTCTTCCTGTGGACTTCGGAGAAGTCAAGTCGGAAATTAACAGGATTACTTCAAAGGTGATGCATCTTGCTTTCCGTCCTGTGTTTAGGTTCACTGTTTTCCTGTTTTGGTGTTTAGGTTCACTGGTGGATGACGAGTCTCTCATTGGTGTCCTGCGAACCACCAAGCAGACAGCAGCTGAAGTAAGTGAAAAGTTGCATGTAGCTGCAGAAACCGAGATCAAGATTAACACGGCTCAGGAGGAGTTCCGGCCCGCGGCCACCCGCGGGAGCATCCTCTACTTCCTCATCACAGAGATGAGCATGGTCAACATCATGTACCAGACCTCACTGGCCCAGTTCTTGAAGTTATTTGACCAGTCCATGGCCAGGTGAATCCTCACGATCTTTGCCCCAGAGCAGTGATGTAAAGGTTTTGTTTGTATTTCTACTCTTTTAGACATTGCTTTTTACGTCTTTGATTTCTAAAATGCATTGCAGATCTGAAAAATCTCCACTGCCTCAAAAGAGAATTACAAATATTATTGAGTATCTGACATATGAAGTTTTCACATACTCGGTCAGAGGACTGTATGAAAACCACAAATTCCTCTTTGTGCTCCTCATGACCTTAAAGATCGACCTTCAGAGAGGAACAGTCAAGCACAGAGAGTTCCAGGCTCTCATAAAAGGTAAAGTGTGGAATACGGATGTGGTGTGCAAAGCATGTTGCTTTTGACGTGCTCTTTGAGGCGCTGCGGACCCATTTCTGCGATACGGCAGGGAAATTGTGTTCTAATGAAAGTGCAGTTTGTCTTTTAATACTTTTTTTTTTTAATTTCCATTCACTTTGCTCTGGTTATTTCAGATTCAGGTCTGTGCTAACTCTGTGAGTGTTAGTTTTATGATTACAGTCAGTTTGTTCATTGTCACCCACGCTTAGGAGAGCCAACTGCCAGCGTGAGGAAAAGACGTGCGGGAGGTGGGCTTTCCGAGCAGGACAGCAATTCCTTCCGCAAGGGAGTGTGATGGTTTTCAAGAGTGTAAAACAAGACTCACTTGTATTTCTTATTTGAAGTTAATCCTATTCATTGCTTATCTCCACGTTAAAGGTATAATTAAGAAGATGAAACACTGGTATTTTCATTTCGATCCAGGTATATGAGTATTTATTGAGCACGTGCTATGCGAACCCACCATGCTACAAGGATTCAAGGGGGTCTGCGGATACAGAACAGTATAAATGTTACAAGGGAGCTAAGAAACAGAGTGTTAGGTCTAAAAGGAAGAAGAGATTACATGTGGTTGGTGAAATAATAAAAAAAAAAAGCTTCTTGGAAAATATGCCTTTGTGAGTGAAGCCATAAATTTGGGGATTATTTGGTACACGGTAAAAATGTTTCAATCTTTTTCTTGAGGTTTTGTTTTATTCTTCGCTCTTTATATATAATTTAACCAATTGTTTCTGGCTCCCCACACCTCTAAAAATGAAAGTGGCGTTCGAGGTGGACCCTGAAGAGGCAGAGGTGAGGAAAACGTCCCGTGCTGAAGCAGAACAGCATGGGAACAGGTGTGAGCGGAGCATGTGTAAGTTGTAGGAATCAGTCTGCTTCTGCTGAAGCAAAACGCGGATCTGGAGGAATCGCGAGAACTCGGGCTGAGTGTGTGAACTGGTGACACCCTGTGGGGCCTGGACTCCTGTAGGGAGGATTTTCTGAACGGGCAAGACACAGGGAGTTGTGGAAGGTGGTGATGTGATCGGTGTGATCCTTTAGGAAGACGAACCTGGCAGACACGTATAATGGAGAAAAGAGGTTCCAGGGAGTCTCTTTTAGTCTTCCTGACCACAGGAAATGCATTCCCAGCCCAGGGTGAAGGTGACGGGAACGCAAAGGGAGAAAAGGATCTGAGAGATGGTGGAGGTAAAATGGCGACTGACAGATACAGGAGCCAAGAGAGGAGTCGGAAACGAGTCTAAGGCTTCTGGTCCATGCCGAGATTTCCGGTCTGTTTGGTTGGAAGAGGAGCTGGTTTGAGGAGGTTGGAGTGGGGGATTGATGAATATGATTTGGGGACCTACTCAGTCAGAACAGGCCAGGTTTTGCTGCTATAAAAACAATCACAAAATTTCAGTGACTTAACACAACCAAGGTGTGCTTCTCATTCATGCCACCTCTCCAACATGCTTGTCACGGTCGTCGGGATCCAGATGGCTTCCATCACTGCGATGGCAGGGCGACGAGAGTGTGGCAGATTGTGCGCTGACCAGTAAAAGTTCACCCATGAGTGACATGTGTCACTTACACTCATACTTCCTTATCCAAAGCAAGACACACGGCCACATCTAACCTCAGAGAGCCCAGGGAAACATGGTCTCCCGCTGTGTTGGGAGGTGGGGACACTGATGTTCACGAACAGCTCTGCTGACACCACAGACATGCTGAATACGTCCAGCAGACAGCTAGAAAAGGTAACCCAGACAGTTTGAAGGAAGTCAGACAGCTACAAAGATGGGACATAGAAATAGTAACCAAAGCCCTGCAAATGAAAGAGATAATCTAGGGAACAAATGTAGAGCATTTCCAAATTCATACTACAAGGTGATAGGACATGCTACACTTTTACCCTATTTATAATAAACAAGCTGTCATCCATAACTACTTCTTAGTCTTCCTCTATTTAGTTAATTCCTTCCTCAGATCCAAATTAGATTACCACTGTGGAAATTTTGCAAACAATTTTGCATAATCTCTCACATTTCTTCTTTGTGTCTTCTTCATGAACACAGGTTTTGTTTCTTGTGGTTCGGAGGAAATTGAAATATGTCATCCGGTTCATATTCTTTCTCAGGTCTAATACACCTGGGAGGCTGGTGTCGGACAGTGTCAGCAGGAGGAAGGCAGCGTGGTGGGTGCCGGCAGCTGGGGAAATGGCGGGGCTGTGCCGCAGATTAGCCACGTGAGCTCGGGGAGGGACCACCCAGGGCCTCCAGGTACAAGAGACTGGAGGGGCCCAAAGGGAAACAATGAATACCACTTGGGAGAAGGGGACAGGCGCTACGGAGGAGCATCCAGACATTTGGGGTTTTGGTTGTGGTGATGTTAAAATAAAGTGAATGTCAATTTATCAAATCTAGAAAGCTGCTTTGATTTGTTTCAGAAATTGTTAGCTCTCACTGGACTCGGGGCTACAGCCCCAGTGTGGTGGGAAACCGGGGAGAGGGTGGGGGACATTGCAGCATGCGGAAATCTAGGCAGCAGAGCTGGGGTCTGAATGTTTGTGTCCCTCCAAAATTCGTATGTTGAAATCCTGACCCCCAAGGTGGTAGTATTAGGAGGGGTGGACTTTGGGAGATGATTAGGTCAGGAGGGTTTAGCCCTTGTAAATGGGATTGGTGCCCTCGTAAAAGAGGTGGGGCGAGCTTGTTTGCCCCTCCCACCACGTGAGAACACAGCGAAGATGCCATCTATGAACCAGGAAACAGGCCTTCACCAGATGCTGCATCTGCAGGGATCTTGGCCTCTTCCCTGCCTGAACCTCAGGTGGGTGGAGGAGAGGGCTGGAGACGCATCCGGGTAGGAGATTCCCCTGCATTCTGCCCAGTGCTACATGCTCCGTGGAAGCAGCACTGCAGCATCGAGGGAGGGCAGGGGCTGAGGTTTGGCGAGCAGGAGTGTGGGGACGTGCTGATGCTGAGAGCACTGCCACACAGCAGAGACCGGGGGTTCAAACCAAGAAGCTGCAGGGCAAGGGAACTTCGTAACTGGAGGCAAAGGACCAGGGCCAGGTGCTTCGGCTGTGGACTGCAGCCCAGTGTCCCTATAGGTCAGATAGACTTTGTCGTAGCTCAGAGGACACAGTACAGGGACCCACCCTGTGACTGAGGCACGTGGGCCCTGGAGGACAGTGTGCAGACTGAAGCATGCTCCCCACCAACACATAATCCCAGCATGCATCTCACCTTTCCCACCGGCGAATGAGCCAGACCAGAGCTAGCACCCGAAAGAGACTGGCTCTTTCAAAGAGGGGAGGTACGTCTGAGCAGACTGAGAAGACATCCGCACAGTCGGGGGCTCATCAGGAGGATTAGATCTGCTAGAGAGAAGAAGAGAACAGCACACCTGGGTTGTGGCATGAATGCATTTGTGACCCCATTTCATAAAATTGGAGAGTGAGGGAGAACCAGGTAGCACAGGGCCAGGACAGCCAGTGAGAGGAGTTTGGGTTTAATTGAGCTGGCAATAGGGAGTCATCGAATGTTGTATGAGCAGGGATGTGGCATGAACAGAGCAGTGCTTTAAGATTAATTTGGGATCGTATGATAGGTTGATTGATAGAAGTACGTCGGCTCAGCAGTAAAAAATTTTTTTAAAAAGCAAAACTGATTTATTGTACAGTTTGCATTAGCATTGACTGGCTTACATTTTGACTGAATTATTTTTTAAAAGATGGCATGACTTTGTTTTTAACGTTTTTTTTTTTACAAAGTTAACAAATATGGCCTTGAGATCACAGATGCTGTTTTATCGTTTTGAACTCAATACTGAAGGGGGGGCGAAGAGTTATTTATCATAGCAGGAATGCTTGATTTCCCAAGAGTGACAGTCCTTTCGTTTCAATTACTGCTTGTTTTCTGCAATATTCATAAGCTGTCTTTGTCTTTCTTCTCCGACTGAGAATGTCACAACACTTTGAAAAATGACATGGATACCAAGGGCAATCGTGCGTCATAGAGCGATCGCTGAACCTGTTTCCCCTGCCTGGTTATTTTAGAAAGATATTATCTTTCTTTTGTCATAGACCATGGGCAAAAAGAGACACTTTAGGGGGTCTGCTCTTGCCTTCCAGGTTGAGCTGGACCTGTGCCTTCCAAGGGGGAGGGGGAGAGAGAGAGAGAAGGAAAGAGAGAGACAGAAAGAATTAACGTCAAATAACAGCTAATGATTACGTAGGTCTTAAGGTTAATTTATTATGGGCCTAGACTGTTCTAAGCTTTCTTCATACGTTATTTAATCCTCACAGCGATCAATCCAGTAGATTCTATCATTACATCCATTTGACAGATGAGGAAACGAGAGGGATTCATGTTCCTTGTCCAAGTTTATGCAGCTAGTAAGTGGCAGCCAGGCTATTTTGGGAAATAGTTTATGGACTGTAGTTGTTCGGTGTTAGTTTAGGTGCCCAATATGTTTGGAAACACCGAGGTTGCTTAGATGTCTTCTCCTGGTGTCTCTAAAGCTCACGATTCCATGAAAATGTTTCTTTGGAAACAACCAAGAAGAAAAGAGATGAGTTCGTCTCTGTGTTAGCAGCAGAATCTGTGAAGACTGCAGGTGGCTCTCTCTGGTGGCTGCTACTCACAGCAGCAGCGCATGTGTATTGGCACCGATGTGCTCAGGGACGACTTCCTCTTGCACGAGGTTGGGGGCCGAGCAGCCAGGGGAAGGTTAACATCCTGTTCTAAAGGTGTTGCGGCAGCGCTCAGAGCTGCTGAGCCCAAGTCCTTGGGTGGAGCAAAGGGCTTACAGGACAAAAGTACTTCAGTTCATGCACCTTCTCAGGACAATGCCACGTGTAGTTCCCCCTCCTCCTGCCTCTTTTGCCCAAGAGTTGAGTTGTGGAGTGGAAGGAAATGATGAGTTCTTAAGGAAGAGTGTAAGATGTAAAAGTTCAAAAATCCCTGTTTTGCATACATCTGAATTAAACAACAGTGGATATGGAATTATTATGATACAACATTACTAAAGATATGCAATAGAGGGATTTTGAAATTGTAAATATAATCACATATTTCATTGGAAAATGGCACATTGGGTATGCTCGTTTGACCTGTGACTTGCTTCAGAATAGGATCTGAGGCTGTAGCTCACATCCTCACCAGATGGCAAGCTCTGCAAGAAAGAGCAGGGCCTTGCTTGGTTTTCTCTGCTATATCCCCAGTGCCTGGAACATGTCGGATCCACAGAGGGTGCTCAATAAATATTTGTTCAATAAGTGATGAATAAATGGTTTGAATATTAGTCACAACCTAGAAACCCTACAGATGCGTCATCATCCTTCCCTCCCTCACTTCCCCCCTCCTCCCTCCCTCCCTCCATCCATCTGTTTATCTATGTATCTGACCTGGTCATAAATGGAATTGAATATAAAACTTCTGGAGCTGTAATGACTGGCTAAGAAGTGATTTTTCAAATCACACATGAAAAGATCAACCTATTTATTGATACCAAAATGATAAATTTCAGCTAGTTAAAAAAATAAAAAAGCAACAACCATAACCACTGAGAAAAATTCTTTACAGGGAAAAATGACAAAGAGTTGCTGTCTATATTTTTGAAGATGGTATAAATCAGTAGGTAAAACACTTAGACTTGAAGGAAATGTACCAAAAAAAAGATAACCACATTTTCCATAATACTATTATTTTCCAATTTTCCCATATTTTCTGTAATATGGTTATCTCATTTTTATTATTTAGAAAATGAATTTCTAAAAACGAAGTACAAGCTGACTTGATTGACGCAGTTTGCTGCTTTTCCCCAGGCGGAGCAGCTCTGGACCTGAAGGCCTGCCCTCCCAAACCCTTTCGCTGGATCCTCGACATGACTTGGCTGAATCTTGTGGAGCTGAGTAAACTTCCACAGTTTGCAGAAATTATGAACCAGGTAATGCAGTGAAGGGCTGGTTAAAAGTACGGATCTGTAAACCCAAACACAGCCAGGCCGTCTTAACTGGGGCCTCCTGGGGACAATTCCTTCACCTAAGGAGTCAGCCTGATAGTGTAGATTTAAGGCCTGTGGCTGTCTGGGGGAGGTTTTGGACAGATGAACATCAGAGTTAACCTCTGCATAGGTGGAGGCAACTCTCCTTTCCTTCTTTGTGGTGGGTGTGGGTCATTTTTTTTTTTTTTTTTTTGAGACAGAGTCTCACTGTGTTGCCCAGGCTAGAGTGCCGTGGCATCAGCCTAGCTCACAGCAACCTCAAACTCCTGGGATCAAGTGATCCTCCTGCCTCAGCCTCCCAAGTAGCTGGGACTACAGGCATGCGCCACCATGCCCGGCTAATTTTTTCTATAAATTTTAGTTGTCCAGTTAATTTCTTTCTAATTTTAGTAGAGACGGGGGTCTTGCTCTTGCTCAGGCTGGTTTTGAACTCCTGAGCTCAAACAATCCGCCTGCCTCGGCCTCCCAGAGTGCTAGGATTACAGGCATGAGCCACCACGCCCGGCCTGTGGGTCATTTTTATATGCCTGCTTAAGTTGCTGCCAGAATCAGAACCAGTAGGTGGGCTTTTTTATTGCAGACTATTACTGTTTTCACATTTCTACTTCTGCCTATGATTAAGGAATTTGTATGAATTAAGGCAATTTGCACTTTATAAGGCAAATTAAGGTTGGGGTCATTTTTTAAAAAACTAATCATTTTAATGGTGACAATATAAAATGGTAAAATAAAACAGTAAAAATGGTGCAACAGGTACCAATTTACCTGTTATTGTTTTTTCTTATCTGAAAATGTAAATTGGTTATTGTGGATTCGTTGTGGATTCAGCTATCACTGGAAAATGATCATGTAACTCAGAATAAAGATATTGTTGTTTATCATTAGGGTCTGTTGGTTGCAACTGCCTGTCACTGATGGGAGACTGTTGTTGCCCAGTGTCAAATGCTGGTAATTATCTGTTTTCCGGTTTCTGGTGACCAACAAATGGGGCCATAGGTAGCCTACAAGTTAGCAGAGGCCTCATGCTGTGATCACCAGTCCCCTGCCCAGTGTGCTACACTGGCTGTGCCTGCTTAGTGGCTGGCATTTCTGAAACATTATGTAGATTCTACCTATTCAGGCCATGGTTGGGCCAGAGTTACTTGGATAAACCCCCTGGGTTCCAGCGGTGGGTGGGTGATGGGATTAAGACCACTGGGACTGAGGGATGCTATGTCTGAGGCTGTGAGAGGAGAGGATGTGAAGGAATTGCCTGAGCAGAAGCCTGAAACAAGGGCAGATGTGAACTGCCTAGTTGGGGGACATATCTCAGCGATCTGGGAGTACAGCAAAGCACGCTCAACCTCAGAGCCTAAGGGGTCTCATGCCTGAAAAGCTGCAGGCGGCCTGACGTGGAAACCTCTCATGGCTGTAGAGGTGGATTGCCATATGTCAGCCCGGGAGAAAGGTCTCAGAGCTTCCATTGTTTGAACAGTGGGCCAAGTTCCTTCTCTCCTGTCTCTCAACAATGCCTCAGTTAATGTAAAACCAGTCTCCCGGTGGAAAGCATGTAGTTGCTTTGTTCCTTGATCAAATGAGTCACAGCTACTGAAGCTAGAGATTGATATCCGTGTACATAGCTTGAGCTTGGCATAAAATTAGTTTACCTTGATTAAAAAGGATTGCACCTACTGCAGAATTATGTGTTTTTCACTTCTGGAAAGGAGAAGGAAATTAGCTAGTACACCTTGTGATTTGGGGGGGAGCCCCAAAACCTTTGATCATTATAGCCCGTGATTTTTTCACGACATCATTGTATTTTGCAACATGGCAAAGAGAATAAAAAGCAAGTGCTGGGTTTCAGTCTTTGCCACCTTGGCGCCAGAGTGCTGGTGGTCCCCTGACTTCCCTGGTTTCTTAAATACTATTTCTGTTTCTGTGTCTTTGTTTCATTCATCTCCTGCAACAGAGTCAGCCAGGGGACCCTGTCTTTATTGGGGGCATCACAAACCCCCGATAGGTGGGCAGTGAGCTTTGTTTTGTAGTTCAGCCACAGATGAGTCCCCAACTCAAACAAATACTTGGGGTGAAAAAGTAGTCCGGGTCTGGTCAGAGACTGGTTAAGGGAGATCTTAAAGCACCACTGGAAAAATCACTCAGAACCCATGTCCTCCACTGTGGGCTATACTGACACAAGGGTATTCATTACTGTTTGCCTCTGCCAATTAGGTTTAAGTGCCCATGATGTAGAATCTGGCAGCTCCTACTGCTTACTATGGGATAGGTACTTCGTAATGATAATAAGCCTGCAAGGGAAGTGTTATTGACCCTACTTTATAGCTGAGAAAACTGAGAGTCGAAGAGGTTAAGTACTTGCTCGAGGCTGCATAGCTAGTCAGTGACAAAGCTGTAATTTGACCTCAGACTCTTCCCACGCCACCACCAGTTATTTGGGGACCTGCAGCAGGAGGCCATTGGCCTGGCCTGTCTGTGGAAAGGAAGGGAGGAGGTAGAAGATGAGTCTCCTGGCTGAGTGGCTGTCAGGAACTGAAACAAAAATAACCTCAAACAGCAGCTGCCCTGGCCTTGGCATCCCAGGCCGAACTGTTTAGCACCTGCATGTGGTTTGTGCCAAGAGGTGAGGGCCAGGAAAAGGAGTGGGAAGTAGAGGTGGATGGCGAGGGGCTGGAAGCTCCCCCCAGAAGCTCTGCTGTGGTCAGTCATGTTAAGAATTAGCGGGTGGAAGGCCAGTAGCTCAGAATAATCATCTGCTCTGTTCCTGGGCCTCCTTCTCTCTGGCCGCTGGTGTGGAGGAGGCCTGCAGGGCGCTGTGGGCAGCAGTGCGCAGGTGCCGGTGCCGTAGGGCAGGGCTGGCAGCGCGCGGGGCCTCCACGTGGCGTGCAGGCAGGTTCTCTGAGGGCGGCCAACCAGGCAGAGCCACTGCGATCTCCAGGAGAAGGATGGCAGTTGTGAAACATTTTGGAAACGTCCCTCCATCTTTTAGTGCCCCAGGGACAAAGTGAGTTACAGAGTAACTGTTTTATTATTAATTTGCACCCTACCTGTATCCAGTATGATGAATTGTTCTCACGATGTGTGACTTTGGGAGTTATTTAACCTCTCTGTGCATCAACAAAACGTGGGCATGATAGAGGAAAAAGTGCAGTCTTCAGGTCGGGCATGTAGCGCCTGCTGTGCGGGAGCACTTGCTGTTTGTTATTAGTGCTCGCCACGGCTTTTTAAAAAGTCCTGACAAACACTGTGTACGTGATCCAGCCTGACTGTTGCTGAGGAGCAGCGACAGGCTCACCAATCTGTAGTTTTTGTGATTTGTCTCGACTCATTACTTAGGCTACAGAGAGCACCTTTTAATGCCTCTGAAACTTGAGGTCCTCCCCATGCTTCTGAAAGGTATGTATTTGAGGCCAGCGCTTGGAGAGACTTCTTCCAGTCTTAGGTTTAAAGTCTCAAGGTGGGGGACCACTAGGAAAATAAAAGTTTTGATTCTGTCATCTATCAGTATTTTTAAGTAGAGATCAACATATAGAGGTTTGGTTATCAGAATGGTCTGTGTCAGTGGTTCTCAACTGAGGGTAATTTGTACCACCCCCAGGGGGCATTTGACAACATCTAGAGACATTTTTGATTGTTTTGACCTGGGAGGAGGGTGCTGCTGGCACCTGGTGGGTAGAGGCCCGGGATGCTGCTGTAAACATCCTTATGCCTAGGACGGCCCCTACAACAATGAATCATCCAGCACTAAATGTCGATAATGCTAAGGTTGAGAAACATTGATCTCTGTTTCTTCCTGCCCAACCGTTTGGTATAATTGATACGTGATCCTGATTTTAGCGAATAATGTTTAACAAAAAATGGAAACACTGAAAGGGAATAATAATATCCATGTTATTTGAGTCATTGATTCTGAAGAAATATTTAAACTGTGTTGTTATGCTTGAGAAATTATCTGCTTGCAAAGAGTGACCCTCCAAGGTTACTCAGAATGCTCTATAATGTATTCCGATCACACAGGGTTCTATGTCTTGCTAATTGGCCTGGTTTTTTTAGATATCTCGTAATGAGAAGGGGTGGAAGAACTGGATTGATAAAGATGCTCCAGAGGAGGAGATTATCCCTGATGGATATAATGATTCGCTAGATACCTGCCGCAAACTTCTACTCATCAGGTGAGATCAGGTATTATCAGACCTGGAGGCATCGCTCATCATTTTGTCAAATTACAGGTCTCACCTCAGGGAGTTAATTTAACTATGTCCCTATGGTTATTGTAAGAAATGTGTGTGCTGGCCGGGCGCGGTGGCTCACGCCTATCATCCTAGCACTCTGGGAGGCCGAGGCAGGTGGATCATTTGAGCTCAGGAGTTCAAGACCAGCCTGAGCAACAGCAAGACCCTGTCTCTACCAAAAAAATAGAAAGAAATTAGCTGGACAACTAAAAATATATAGAAAAAATTAGCCGGACATGG